TTATGTAGAAATACAAATGGCTTGGCTGCTATGATCTGGATATTATATTATATTCTCACAATTTTTCCCGCAAGGAATGCAAGGCAGCTAACCTTATTCTTGTCTTTTTCTGCATTTTATCCTCTCAACAATCCTGTGAGGTAGGTTAGGCTGAGAGGCGGTGACTCAGCCAAAGTCATCCAGTTAGCTTCATGGTCAGTTGGGATTTAGAACCTGGATCTCCTGAGTCCCAGTTTAATATTCTAACCACTGCACCAGCCTGTATTCCAAACACTGTACATGTGGTTTTGTCTCAACATGCATAGACTTACATCCTAAATATCTTAAATGCTGTAATGGGTGAAGCTCCCCATGTGTTGGAAGCTTAAGAAGACTGTATTTCAGTAATAAAACACAGCAACCAGAGCACAAATGGGTCTACCCCTTTCCATCAATTTGTATACACCACACTTAAATGCCTTAAGTTATGATAGGCAGAGTTGGGACTTAATTATATACTGATGGTGCTCAGCAGGGCAGTGCAAACTAAGGATTTATGGATTTTTATTCTCTCTTGTCTAATACTTACACAAAGATATGTAGTGCAGTGAGGCATGGCTGAAACATGCTGCATTTATTTTTATGCCAGTAATGAAGTGTAGCAACACAATTGTACTTTATAATGAAGCTCCTGTGTCAAAATGAGAGTGTGAATTAATCTATCCTTGAAAGTTCCATCTAGATTCTAAAAGACTTCCTTGAGAGAGGTTTGATTGGGAATAGAAAGACTAAAAAAAACTTTTTATAAAAATCAGGTTGGTAAATCTGAAAGATCAAATTCAGTTCCATATGATGAAAGACTGACAATCATAAGAAGGGAGTGATCCTGTGCCTCTTGACAGAATCTGGGGGAAGGGGGCACAGGATAGTTTCAAATGCCCAATCACAACTCAGAGGCTGTGCTGTGACCTCAGAGTAGGGAAATGGCACCTGCCAGAGATTTTCTAGGTGCTTCTTTCTCACTATTCAAAAGTTGTCTGTAAGCTAACCCAACTTCTTGAAAGACAAGGCAGCTACAATAAAGCAAACAGTATTTGTTCTCACAGCAAAAGTAGCTCCTCTCTACAGATTTTTCTGTACTTGTACTCTGCGGCTCCAGAGAAAGAAGCTGCTATGGGAACTCTTTCCCCAGAAGAGTAATCAAACAACACTGAAAAGCATTTATGTACTAAATGTCAAACAAGGAATGTCAGAGTATACCTTGTGCCCCTCCCTGAGTAAATCAAGGAATGGTCCTATCAATTGCAGAGATTTTCCTCTACAGCCTACAAGGAGAATCAAAATTTTGGAAAGGATTTTAAAAACATATTGTTAGGGAATAAAAAACAAACAAAAATAATACAGGGTGCCATACAGGCAGTCCATGAGTTATGAACAACTGAGTTACGAACAACCTGTACTTAAAAACCTCTTAATGTAACAAAATTACTGTGGAAAATTGTCATCATCGAAAATCGAGAGAGAGGTAGTGAAAGGAGTGAGGGAGGGCTTCCAAAGCAACACCATAGAGAGGAATTAGAAGGATAGAGAGGAGGGCCTCCAAAGCAAACCTTTCTGCCCCTCTCATTTGGAGAGAGAAATCTCTCCAGCATTTTCTTGCTGCAAAGAGGAAGCACTGGTGAGTTTGAGCAGTGGAGGGTAGAGATATTTATGGTTTTCCCACTTTCATGGGGGTCCTGTGCCCCTAACCCCTGCAACTTTGGAGGGCAAACTATACATGATTCAACTTACAAATTCTACACAAATATGTATTTCCATTTTCTTATTTGCAACATGGGGACTGCCTGTATGTCCAAAATAACCAAATCCACAATTTTTTTAGATTCTGCATTGTTTCTTGTTTTACACAGAATTTATCTAACTCTTTATCTAAGAATTAGATAAAAGAAAAACTAATTAATTGGTGTCCTTTGGTTAATCCCATCATTCAGCTTTATGTCACAGGGGAGTAACATGAGAAATTGTAATCATTCCAGATTTGGAGATAGAATTGAAATGTTAAATAATTTTAAAATGTGTAACACACAGCAGAAAAAAAAACTTTAGTCTTTTGTGATACTTCATGCATGATTGTTGCTATGCTATTAGCTTTAATTTGCTGCATGATACAGTTCTCCATACTAGAAGAGTTTCTTTTCATTAGCAAATCATTAGTGATTCATAGATCTGGGAGGCCTAAGTTTAAAATCCTCATTAAACCATGATGCTCACCTGGTGACCTTTCACAGTTTCCCTCTCTCAGTCCAGCCTAATTCACAGGCCTTTTGACGATATGGGTGGGGCAGAACTATAGGCTTCTTGGAAGAAGAAAATGGGACAAAAATGAAGAGATGAATATATAGTGCTGGTAATATATCTAAAGGCAAGATTATTCTACATGACCAGCATTAGTAGATCCTGTCACCAAAGTCACTGAACCATCCTATCAGGAACCAAGGAAACAGTTTGTGTTTAGCAGATTTTGCAACTGGTACACTGCCTGCTCTGACAGAGCAGATGACAGAGTAGCAAATCTACAGTGCTCCTCAATTCACAATAGCCGTACACTGAAATTCAGACTAAAAGGCTTTCATCAGTTCCACTTTTAAATTAACTGTTCCTGTATCTTCCTGTCAGAGTCAGACATAGTTCCATCCAAGTGTGCAAAGAATTCTAATGCTAACTACACTGACTGAAGACTATGTCTCAGTGAGTTGGATTCATGCCCGGTATATTTAAGAATAGATCTACGGAAATCTAGACTAAGTTTCCATAGATTTCAATGGGTCTTCTCTAAATATGTTTGCATCCAATCCATTAAATACAGTAGCACTTACTTTTTAGTAAACATGCACAGAATTGCCTTAAATGTTAGACAGCATTATAAATGAAATAAAACACGTTTCCCTTTCAACAAATGCATTTACAGTGGTACTTCAGCTAACAAACGCCTCAGTTCATGACCAAATCAGGTCGCAGAGATTTCATAAAAATTTTGCTGCAGGTCGCGAACTCCACATCAGGTAACAATTGCAATCGCACCCGTCCTTCCTGCCCCAGCGCGACCACGCCCATCTAAGGCAGCAATTGCACTCGCAAGCAGGGATCACGGTCGTGCTGGGGGGGGGCAGATGGCCACATTTGTGCTGTGGGGGAGATGGCTGATCGTGCCGGATGGGGAGATGGCCGCGATCTTCGTCACTTTGCTTCAAATTTTTGTTATTGAAAAAATGGTTACAGAATGGATTAACCTTATTTACACTGAACCTTATGGGGAAATTTGACTTGGCTCACGACCATTTTGGGTCGTGACCACAGTCGTGGAATGGATTAAGTTTATGAGCCAAGGTACCACTCTATTTGATTTTTTTTTTTTTTAAATTTGCATCATTTTGTGAACGATGAAGGGCCTTTCATATCTAAAATCAGAATTTGTGTGTTAATACCACCAAACTGCTTCTCCATACCCTGGGGACAGAACGCTTCAGTCGAGAAGCTGCATCTGTACAAATACATAACACACACACACACACGTTTAATGTTAAAAGCATAATTACTCCTTTTCTCTGACAGGGAGCTTAAGTAGGAATTTTGCTGGTCAAATGTGGAAGTTTGTACAATGTGGTCTAAGTTAGTTCAGCTTTTCATTTAAATAAGTCTGTTGGGGGACAAACTGAAAAAAATAAGACTCACCAAAAGCTAAGAAATCACAAGTTAAAAGTTTTCAAAAAATGAGAAACGAACACATACCTTCAATTCAGCCTAAACTAAATGTTTTGAAAATGCATATCATCGTTCCACTGCCATAGAAGAAATGAACTCACTGCTGCCTATTTGGAAAGAACAGTTGGGCACAAACACCATTCAGAGTTAGGAGATTGCTAGTGGAACCTCTGCCATTTGATTAAAAATCCATTTAAAAATAAACAAGGATTCCTATACACAGTAGGTATATAGAGGACTGATGCATGCAATTATATGATAAAGCTAAAATTATTTCAGTGTGGCTATTTAATGTGCATTTAAGGTATGACTACCACCAGTTTTGTCAAATCCAAAGGTTGAACCAGGATTTATCTCCTTCAAGACGAAGAGGTCCATTCATAGTAGGTCTTCACTCTAAGAGAGACCCCTCCCACATACACCACAGCAGTGTCTAACTGTAAGGCATTTGTGGGGTGCAGGAGAAGCTGCTGTAAAACAAGGGTCCAAGGAAATCCAATTCTGCCAGTACAGTATTGATTCAGGTTAAATCTATATCCAATCCCTAAATCAATTAAAGCTGCATAAATTTATAGATAACAAAATAATTTTAAAGAAATAAGTTTGTTACTTCTTTTTCAAAATGTGTTCCCCAATCAGGAACAACTTTTCAGTAGATTAAAAGACTTTTTTAATTGATTCAACTAGTTAAAGGTTACAGTCCAATATAAATAGCATACCCAATAAAAGGTTTTGTCCATAGTGGGTTGTAACCAATGTAACTGCGGGAGATTCAGAAGCCATGTTCTCCCCCTCTCCTCCAAGCCACCATAGATTACAAGAAGGGATTTCAAAATGTTTTTAAAAATCACCAGTTTGCTGCCAAAATGTGGTGGTAAATCACTCCAGAATGTTCAGGAGCACTCAAAGAAGTATATTTAAATTTGGCCCTTTTGATACTCTATAGCAACTCTAGAACACAAACAGTAACAAATGTAGATTGAAAAGAAATGAAATTTGACCTTTTTACCACTTGGTAGCTGCTCTGGAACACCACTTCATTTGCAAAAAGATACTTATTTTTTCCAGAAAATTGAGTAATAGTAGGTACCTGTGCTACCCATCTTTGCTGCATAGGTTGTCTGATAGCCTGAAGTGTTCCACAGAACTGGGTGTGGAAATCAGTCTTAAATCAATAATGAAGAATGGTCTTTATCTACCATATTCCCAATTATAAATATATACAAATTAACTAATAAAATTAAACAAGGGCATCCAACTACATTTTCCTGAAATAACTTCCAGTCTTCTTTATTTCCAAATAAAGTACATTTATCCAAGAAGCATGTACATTCAACATAGAACATTTCCAGCAACAGTTACAGTCTATTTTCCATTCACAGTTTTTTTAGTGCAAAGCACTAAAAGGCCAAACACTTGTCTATCCATAAAAGAATATTTTCATTTATGATCAACATTTTAGATATATTTTATACAAAAACTATATATGGACACAAGGCATTCCCTAAGCAAGGGAGTAGACCAATATTAAAAACGGCATTTCTTCAGCGGTTCAGTATCTTTTTAATTGTGGCAATTTGACACAAATCACTAAACATTTTCTAAAAATTAAAAAAATGCACAGAAACCTGCCAAAAAAATTCATAATGGTAGGTATACTACTATTTTGCTATAGAATCGATTATAAAATAGACAGAATTAAGCAAGCCTTTATAAACTTTACAGTGAAAGTCAAGTGCTACCTACAGTGGTCATTCAACATTTTGTGGGCAAAAATAAGAATGTCCTGGTACTATTTTCCTTAAACAATAGTTAAGGAACTACAAAGCAATGGTTGTATATGAATTGTCTACAAAAACAACAACAAACATCTTCACATGAGTATTAGTGTAGTTTTAAAATATTCACTAAAAAAATTAAACTGGAGCTATTAAAGTGCTTGTGTATAAATTTATTTTAAAAAACAATTAAAATAGGGGAATGTGGGTCACTTGTAAACTTCCATATGAAAGACTGTCCAATATGGTAACCATGCAAAATTAATATGGATCTTTCCAGCAAGTTCAGTACAGTAAAATTTAATACTCAAAAAAATTAGTCAATCATCAATTCAAATTAGAGCAAATGATAGAATTATTACAATTCAATTTAAAATTCATTCAAATTATAATAAGAAATTGCTCATATACATTCATTTATAAAAATATATATTTTTAAAGTACATCACACAACAAGTGTTTGCTTAGTAGTATATCACAATGAACATAAAATCTGTTCAGCAAAATCAGATTTAAGTAGGGGCCACATCTATGAAACACATGCTGCAGTTGACAATTTCCTTAAAAATATCTTCCAAAATTGTTTTTTAAAATTCCCTTTTTTAAAATATTTGTCTCCTATTACCAACACTACTGAACTGCGTGGACTAAGACAGCCATTAGTTCTAACAGCCATTTAAATGCAGCTTAATTGCTGTTGGAAAAAAATTGGACACAATGTTATGCTTTATGAACAGTCAATACATTTAGTAAGAAAATACCTTATAAAAATATTTATTCTCATAGTACTATTCAAGACATTAGTGGCTCTATTTTCGAATTTTGCACACATCATTTTTATGTTAGGAAACATGTATATCAATATAACCTTTAGTCAACTTAAAAGGTGTGTATGGGGGTTAGTAGACTGCACTGAAGCTTACCATGAAGACCTAAGAACTTCCTCTCTCCAGTAATACGATTGCGGTTTTGTTATCAATGGGATGGATCCAGCAAGAGGCCCTGACAAAAACCTTTTGATTCCTTAGATGCTTCCAACCATGGAATGAGAAGGAAGATGATTTCCAGTGATCCCCCTCCTTCTGCAGCTCCCCTCACCACACTATTCCAAAGGGTACCCCAAGCCTACAGAGCAGAGTCAGAACGGACAGGGCTCACAGTTAGGACTGAGCTGGGAGAAAGAATCACTGAAAATTACATACCTCTCCACTTGGAGACTAAAGACTCTAATGGATCAGTGAGCTTTCCATCAACCGAGGCCACTAACTAGATCCAACCCAATCATGTATTTCTGTATTATATAGGATTTTAAAAGGAACAAACACTCCCCCACACACAAACCAAAATTCCACCAACAATATCTGAAGGTGGCTTCAATTTTTTGGATGCTTGTCTACATGTATAAATCTTTTCGCTCTGAGAACCAGAATCTACAAGTTATTTAATTCTGGGAAGCCACCTTCAAGTAATGGAGATTTTAGGACTAAAGTACCAGTACAGATATGCTCTTTATAAACATCTGTTACAGAATAAGCATTTTTTGTATAGCACAGTAATGTAAAAAACTATCCTCTTTTTGACTGCTGGTTGACCAAAAATATTTCACTTTCAAGTTAATTTAAAATTCCCCTACATATATATCCATTCATTGTATAAAATGGTACTGTAGAATATCAGACCACACTCTACTTTTAAACAGTGTCTTCAGAAACAAACATAGTTAAAATTCCAGATATAAGGGACCAATTTTTTATTATTCAAATAATACAAAGTATATGAATTTAAGGAATTGGAGTCTTGTATTAAACAGGAAAGAGCATTTCTGAATGTAAAAAATGTTAACTCTATAGATAGTTCAGCACTGTATCATAATTTTGTAATAGTCACAAATACATCAGGATTTCTGTGAAACTGTCAAAAATGTTTGCTAACAGACTAAACCACAGTTAGGTAACACAGAACCCACAGACCATCTCCAGCCTAGGAAGGCTTTCTCTGCCTGGTCAGTACCAATGAAGTGCAAAGTCAATTAAAAAAAAAAAACCTTTGGGACTATCGTATCTACTGCTAAACATTATCCCAAAAATAACCTGATGTGAATATGAAACCTTGAAGAACCAACCCTGTACATTTCAAACTGTACTGGGGTCAATGTCCTGAATGAAGAAAAATTCAGAAATTAAAATCCTTGTCTCATGCTATGGGGAAAATTGGCATAAAAGAATAAATGCAATATTCTTTTCTCCTCTATAGCATCAGTTCTACAGAGAAACGTGTGTTTAAGCTGGGGTGTACCAATGGAACTTTTAGGCAAACATTTAAGGCACTAGGTTCCTCACCAGACAAGAGCTTTAGATCTTGTACTTCTGCCTTTGGTTTTATTGTTTTCTTCGGGTGAATGTGATGCATTTGCTTTATGAGTTTTCTTATGATGTTCTAGAAAAGTCTTTTTGGCAAATGCTTTCCCACATTTATTGCATCTGTGCAGAGAGAAGTTTTTTGTGACTTTCACTTCAATGCCAACATCAGCTCCTTCATACTTTTTGCTTGGTGAGTTAGAGGTGACATCCTGTTTTGAACCATTTTGTTTACTTTCATCCCTCTGAGGGCCTCTTTTTGCCACCTTATTTAGAACACAGTCAATGGGTTTTTTTATTGCTCGGATTTCTAAACTTGCAGTTATCTTACCAAGATAACGTGAAGACTTTTTATGTACTACTGTTATGTGTCTTATCACATCACGCTTTCGGCGTGTTTCATAAGTGCAGAGGGGACACCTGTAGAATTTAACATATATGTTATTTCCGTCTGTGTGCAACTCAATGTGTTTTGTTAAATTTTGTTTAGAAGTAAATTGGCGTTTGCAGAGTTTACAATAAAGCTTTTTAAAGTCAAAACCAGCTGACAGTCTTGGTTTCCTGGGCTTTTTGAGACCACCTGTAAGGGATTGATTACTTGACTTAGAATTTTCAGGACATGGCTTCATTTTATTTCTCTTAGCAGTTGGTGTGCCTTTCCTCTCAGTGGATGGTGCATTTTTCCTCTCGGTGGACGGTGCATTTTTCCTCTCGGTGGATGATGTGTTCTTTCTTTCATTTGAATTATTTGTTCCCTTCACTTCATTCTGTAGAGAACTGATGATGGGAGGGGTGGATTCAGCAGGTTCTGTTGGTTCAATTTTAACTTTCACATCCATGTTAACTGTATTACTAGGTTTTTTCTCTCTTTTAGTATTCTTGGTGGAAAGAGTTATCTTGTGAACAATTTGCATATGTCTTTTAAGCATTACTTGGGAACTGTATTTCCTCTTGCACAAGAGGCATTTGCAAGCAGTTAAGTTGTACTCAGCCTTTGCTGACTTTTGTTTTCGGGTCTTAAGAGATTTTTTAGCAGAAGCTGTATCCAAGGACAATGGCTCTCCTGGTTTTGTAGCTATATCAGGAGTTATGGAATCCCTCCTCAGTCCCCTATGCACTTCATCAAAATGCCTCCTTACATTGGCTTTTGTAGCAAAGGATTTAAAACACACAGGACAACTTCTACCCAAAGTTACAAGAACATTCTTGTTGCGCCCCCTTCTGGATGTCTGGTTTGGCCTTTTTTTAATTTCAATGAATTTCTTTATTTCTTCCATCTTTTTTTTGTGCACTTTTCTAATATGTCGGCGTACACTGCGTCTGGAATGAAATTCTTTTTTACAAAGACAACAAATTAACTGATGACCAGAATCAGAATTATTATTGGATTCCACCTCAGGCTTTTCAGAAGGTGTAGATTCTTCTGGAGTCGTTACTACCTTGCTAGCAGCAACAGCAGGAATATCTACAGCTTCCGGTTCTGATGGAGTCGGAACTGTTTTAGAAGGTTCTATGGGGGGTTCTGGCATTTCTGAAGGAGCTTGATCAGGAGGGACATCTATCTCAATGTTCTCAGCTGAATTATCAGCCTTTGAAACATATTGAAATACAGCATTCTGGTTCGTTTCTATAGGTTCCAGATGAATGATATAATCTTGCTTGTCCACTTTTGGATACATAGCTTCTAGAAGATCACTTATGGCTTGACTTTGTTTATCATTCACATCATGAGAATCTGAAAATATACACATGATGCTTAAATTACACAATTTTACAAACATCACTTAGAACAAGAAAGTTGCTTTAAAAAACATGCATTACTTCAGTAATGGTATTTTGCAGAAGACTACAGGTTTAATTATACTAAAATAATAGTTGAAGAACACAGACAGCAAATTCTGGCCAAGTAGACCAAATATCATCTATCTCCTTGAATGAAGTTCATAAATTAGTTTACACCCCAAAAAGGAGTCAGAAACACAACAGGATCTTTCTATTACTTCATGGGTCAATCAAAATATGCAACTGATTTTCCTTTTTTAAAAAGCAAGGTGAGATAACTAATGACTCAGTATCTGAAACCACCTTTGTTTTTTGCCCCTTACATTTAAACAATAACTACATGCTATTATCTTTAATTTTAACAAATATTCCAATAAAAAATCTGCATCATATAATGTTTTGATCACATTAAGTCTGCTTTATTTTTCCTCCCAAATATTTCAAGTAAATACTTGCATTATAACAAAAAATTAACATAGGGTACATTTTTTAGCTTGGTTGTTTACTAAGTATAATTAAACAAACTTGCTAGATTCAATTACTCTTCAGGGTATCAGAAAATTTGCTGACACAAAGTAGCCCAATTTGCAATTAAGAAATTTCACAAAATCCTCATCAAGTGTGATGCTTCAGAGTTGGTAGGAATGCATGTCTTCCCATCACTCATTGTCTCCACTCTCTGCCCCCACCAGCACATCCTTCTGAGCACAAGCAGAGGAGCTCTTCAAATGCAGACCCCCATCTATGAGGTCAGAATGATTCTCCGCCCTCATAGTCGGGTTTCTGAAAAATTCTATGGCCATCTGGACATTGTGTAGCAGAAGCAGGATTCCAATGTTAAACATTTTAAAGTATTTTATAAATCATTGTAAATAAACATAGAAAACAAAGGTTGGAAAGAAACAATTTATTAAATTCTTAAAAGCAGAATATAATTACTAGAAGAGGTAAGGAAATCTATTCTATAGTGAGGTCATTTTTATAAATGGCTGTGGTGAGGTGCTCTGACGTGGCAAGGAGTGCTTTCCTTCAGCTTCGGCTGGTTCATCAACAGCACCCTTACCTGGATGACCATAGCCTAGCAATGGTGACCCATGCCTTGGTAACCCCCCAGCTGGTCTACTGTAACGCGCTCTACATGGGGCTGCCCGTGAAGACAGTCTGGATACTTTAGTTAGCCCAAAACAGAACAGCCAGGATGTGAACAGGGAATGGCAGATATTGTCGTGTGGCTGGTGCTCCTTCCCAGCGAAAGCAACTAGTCCAGTTGCTGCTAAAAAACTCTTTATTCTAAACAGTCTTACAAGTACAAACACATATACTAAGAAGTTGTCCTCTCTTTCTGAATGAGTTCCGCTCACGGGTTGCTTTTTACTCTCCTGGGCCACCCCTCAATGGGTGGGTCAGAAAGGCCCCATCCTCTCTATAGGCCTTTGGTTCTCTCGGGAAGCTTCTCTCCCTTGTGCGAGCGTTAAAGACTCCCCTGAGTCAGCAAGCATGACAGATATGCTCACATAATGCTGGTCCTTTACCATCTACACTGGCTACCAATTGAAGTCCAGGCCCAATTTTGGGTGTTGGTGATAAGCTATAAAGCCCTAAATAGTTCAGGACCCGGTTATCTTAAGAAGCGTCTCCTTCCCTATGTACCTACCAGCCCCTTAAGAGCTGGATCAGAGGTCCTTCTTTGGGAGCTCTCTTTGAAAAAGCTTAGGACAGTGGCTATCCGGAGAAGGGTCTTCTCTGAGGTGGGGCCCTGGCTATGGACATGCTCCACAGAGAAGTACGGCTGACGCTGATACTTTATTCCTTTCAGTGCCAGGCCAAACTTTTTCTATTTTCCCATTATTTTAAGATTTTTTTTTTATTTTAGTTGGGCTTTTATCATAGATACTATGCTGTGCCTTTGTTGTTGGAGCGACTTGAGACTTTTACCTATAGGATGGGACACAAAAGTTTAAAATAAATAAATAAAAACTTGCCTAGCAAAGCAGAGGCCAGTCTTGTTTTCGGCACTGAGAAGACAATACTTACTGTCATCCATGCGGAGACTTGGAGGACAATAAAACTTTTTATGGGTAATTAAGTTTGGTAATCCTCTGAATAGACTGCGGCACAGTTTACACTCAAAAATGGTGTCCACATCCTTCAACAAAATATGTTTAAGTTGTTTAGTTCCTGAAACAACAAAACAACTTTCATTAACATTAGGCACACTTAGAACACTATCCATGATGATGTAAGCATTTGCAGCAAATTTATGCAGCTAATGTAATTCCAATAATGTCTAATATAACATTTTAGGGGCTTGTAGATGACGGTACTTCTTCCAGATGTAATGAAATAATTCAATAGTAATCTGTAACAGTAAAGTCAGGGTTTTCCCCCCCAAAAAACATATGTTTATATTTAAAAATTAGTCTGTAAAACACATTTTAAGACATAGTGCTCTGGAAGAGTAGCAAGGCAGTTAACCAGGTTTTTAAAAAATATTATACAATGGTTCAAATGCATGCACAAATAAATATAATTGCTGTGTTTTTATTATCTTATGATAATTTTCTTATTTTTTCAGTTTTTCTTGTTTGCAAGCTTTTCAGTTTTGTTAACCACCCAGAGAGCCCCATCTATTGGGCAGTAGAAAAATAAACAAACAAATAAATAAAATATATAATGGAACAATAGTGTTAAGCGTCCCATAACCCAATAGTGTTAACAATAGTCCCATATGCTCTTACTAATCTCAAATATGTGCAAAGCTGTAGTTTAATGCTCTAGATGACACAAACATTTGATTCATAAATACAAGGTGAACTCAGATTCTGTTAATTTGCTTTCTTCTACCATCATACTATTTGCATGCCATGAATCACTCCAAACCATGAATCTATTTGTTTTAGACACATATTGGGTATCCAAGCATTAAATACATGACCTTCTTTCATATAAGCATATTGCTTCTTTTATTACAATGACCTGAGCAAACCCCTAAATTGTTACTGTTATTTGACAGTGGCAGTGCACTAAACATTATGCAGAATACAAATCACAGATGCATAGCTGACTTGCAATTTATAAAAGATTTACAAGGCAGTGGCTGGAGTGGGGATATGTCAGGCACTGGTAAATGGATGGGAATAAAGAGAATAGGGTTAGTTCAGAAAAGGCTTTGTTAAAAAAAATTAGCACTACTCCTTGCGTAGAAAAGGCAAATAGCATGCCCTGAAAAAATGGCAAGAAATTGTCATAGAGAAAATGATAACAGAAATCAAGGAAAAAAGGAAAAGGAAGAAGCAGTAACTATGGTTGCTGCAGAGAATGGAAAGAGTAAAAAAGTGATGCAAAAGGAAACAAGTAAAAATACAAATCTTTAAAGCCATTAAAATGTTAATTTGGATCAAGGGAAAGCTGAAATGGTAGAATTAATAGTACAGTTTCAGCTTTCCTTTGCCCTACTTAGTTGTAATTAAAACCTGCAGTTCTTTTGTCACATGCTACAGATTTCAAATGAAATAAGAGTTTGTAATATATGAGCATTCACTGGAAAGAGTTGGATACTCTAGAATAGCATCAGATTACAAACATCCCCTTTCTAGTTCAAACCTTTATCCTCTCTATAGGTACGAATGAAATGTGCATGGGTGAACGAACAACATTCCAGGGAAACTACCAGACCCTCGGATTCATATAAGAGCTCCGATTCTGGTAGCTTCTCACAACAAAAAACTGTGGCATAACTTTTTTTTAAACAAATGTTTAAGTTATTATTTTGAAACTAATCAACTTGTACATTGATGCACAACAAGTTTGCACTGATGATAAACTCTCTTTTAATGTATTCATCTCACACAGAATCAGGGCCAAATTATACTTTATGATAAATACGCTGTTTAAAAAATGTTTAAAAATACGCTGTTTTAAACTGGCTACTTTTAATTTTGAAGGAAAAAAGTCATGAGACCCAGATCTGGAGCATGCTCTTGGACGGGACCCCAGGTCAGTTTCCTTCCAGAAATTCTCTTCCAATCTGCTATACTTCCCCAAAGGTGCCATTTACTGCAGCATTGTTAGAGGAAAACAATACAAAAAACAGCGATCAGGGATTTGGATTTGGGTCAGATTTGGGGCAAAAACTGGTACCCAGTAGCAATACAAATCAGAAGCACATTCTAGACAGGATTCCCCTAGCTGCTTTTTCTTCAAATAAGATGCTAGTTCAAATCAGCTTTTTAGAATATATTTTTATTGGAACATGAAGTTTGGCATTCTGATGTGAGTTTTCCCTTTTAAAGATTATATGGTTGCATTCAGATGAAAAGACACGAACGTTCATAAACTGGGTAAGAATTTCACTTATTCAAACAAGCCTGATGATCTACCTACTTTGACAAAATACATGTGTTAGCTTCAAAGCAGTGATATTCACTAAACAGACTTGTTTTAAAACAAACAAACAAAAACCTTCCTTGTATCACCACATCTCCAAACTCTAACACAGCTTCATTGGAAGCATAACTTGGGTTGCATTTTTCACACACATACTGAAAAACTACTCCTGAAGTTTAAGGGTACTGCCAAAATTGCCTGTGCTATGGCATTAAGAGCTATTGCTGAAAATACACCTGGCCACATCTGTTTTTGGTCCAGGCACACACAACTCCTTTCTGTATAGCTTCAGGCTCATTCATAGGAAACTTTATGTCTTCTTCAGGAGAAGTAGCTGTAATTGTTTTTGGACAGCATGACAGAGTGTCAAATTTTGCAGGGCAAACCCTGTCCCACACTGTGCAATGTGCCTTGGCAATGGGCTTAATGAGAGCTAATTGTATTAGAACAGAATTTTTCATGCAGGTATTCTCACTGTTCCTTTTATCATTCACTGTCGTTGTGGAAAGAAAAGTGTGTAAACCTCTGCTTGGAGAGTTAGAGTACTCAGTAAATGTGTGAAAGCAATAAGTGTAAGGTGGGTTGAAGAATTCATTCTTTATCTCCTTCCTGCCTGTCAGACCTGGCATACCTTTAGCCAGTACATTTTCACTCAAAGGTCCATGCAGACAGGTGTCTGGTAAGTTCCCAAAGACATAAAATGAACAGGGTGTGTTATGCAATGAAGTGAAAAGGGAACACTCAAGGTACTAGCATCCCCAGTGGCAGGTTTAGTCCCTTCCTACAAAAGGTTCTGAAGTTGCAGATGGGACTCTAGGCATCTTCTGTTTGCCTCAGTGGGTTTATTGGTCTTTTCCAAGTCAGTGCTTCAATGATTCCAACCAGCCGTAAATAAGAAACCATAGTTTGAAAACCATATGGTCTCTGAAATTTAAAAAAAAATTATACATGTTTCTGTTACATCTCCTCTATCATCCAGATATATGTAGATATTAATATGGGTATGAAAAGTATGTGTGAGAAAGCGTGGTGACCACACACATTTTGGGCTCTCAATGCATCCACGGCTGGCTTGCAGCTCGCAGGAGATTTCCCAGGTGGCAATCCAGCCCTTGGGCCAAAAAAGGTTCTCCATCTTTGGTTTACTTATAAAATAAGTGTAATGAAGTTAAATATAACAGCAAAATGAAACTACCAGACAATCAAAATACAAAAGGCAAAAAGTTCAAGTAGCATAAAACAACCAGAATAAACACCTAAATTATCTATCCTTAACTGGCAACACACACACACACACACATATACACAGTATTATCACCAAAATGAGGGAGGCTTGGATAGCAGCAACAATGAAAAGGGACTTTTCAGTGGTGGCTCCTCAGTTATGGCACAAGCTCCTCACTGAGCCCTGCCTGGCACCAACTTTAGTATCTTTTAGGTGCCAGGTAAAGACTGTCCTCTTCCACAGGGCATTCAATTAAACTACTGAAGCCAGCTAGCTTTTAAATGGGTCTTAAGATTTTTCTTAGTTACCGTTTTATCTGTTTTAAATGTGGTCTTAAACTTTGTATTGTAAATGTTTTATAATGTTTTAATATTTTTGAATATGGGGCATTTTCTATTACATTTTAAATGTGCTGCTGTAAACTTCCCAGAGAACTTTGGCTATTGGGTGGTTTAGAAATTAAATAAATAAAATCAGAAAATGCCAGAAACAATGCCTTAGTGTTATCGGTATGAAGTAAATCCTGAATGCTTATTCCATTTTTCAAAAGCAGAAAAACAATACCAGATAGCATAAAAGAGAATGCATACTATGAAATTTCTAGTGCCCCAAAAACGAAATTCCAAATTTCTGAATACAGGCCAAACTAAGAAAGTACTTGTTCACACAATAAATAAATGAAAAGCAGTACAAGATATGGCAACAGCCACTGGGCTACATGGTTTTACAAATCAAATGGCCAGATTAACATGATGATAGAGCAATACCAGTTTATCACATCTACGTTTATTTTACATTTATTTTATCATATGCTAAAGTTTTGTGTCAGAATCCTACATTTTGTGCTCCTACCACCAAGCGTGTACTGGTACACAATGCAAATGCAACTACACAGTTACCAAAGTTTTGCTCTACAAATTCCAATATTTGTGCCATAAGCCAAAGCATGTATGGCAAAAAACTATCACAAAATTTTGGTATAGGTTCAGAGGTGATATGAGACTGTGTATTTTTTAGCATTTACTTTGCCCTACATTAAGGGTATGTCGTGGCGCGCTGCCACGACGTTGACGGAAGCCAGCTCCAGCAGCCAGCACAGGCGCATGCGGCGCCGGAGCGCGTTGCCCGCCGGCCCAGGTGATCGGGCGCGTGCGGTGCGTGACGGGGCGGGACTCAGAGGCGCCCTGCGGCCACAAAGCAGCGGCCACGGCCAGGAGGGAACGGCCCCTCGGGCAGGAAACACCGATCCCGCGCTGCAAGAAAGACTTCCGCCCACCTCCAGCAGCACGCCGCTCCATCGCGCTGGAGGAAAGAGCCGCCGCGTGTGCAAGCAGATGCAAGCAGATGCGCGCTGCCACGACGTTGACGGAAGCCAGCTCCAGCGGCCAGCGCAGGCACACGCGGCGCCGGAGCGCACTGCCCGCCGGCCCAGGTGATCGGGTGCGCGCGGTGCGCGACGGGGCGGGACTCGGAGGCGCCCTGCGGCCACAAAGCAGCGGCCGCGGCCAGGGCCGGCGGCCGAAGGGCAGCAGCCAAAGGGGTCGCCGCCGTTTGGGAGCCATTCGGG